TAAGGATTGTTGAATAGAGTGCCGAAGTGTGACGTCATGTTACCATGGTAGCATTTTTGCTGGATCTAAACACTATTTGGCGTCTTTCGTTACATCTCATCATAAAATGGGCCAATGCTTCGTTCCCGACTGCAATCATCAGTCAGAAAGTCACAATTGCAGCTTTTACCGTTTCCCCAAAGATCCTGCTCAAAGAAGAAAATGGATTTCTCTAATAAGGTAGGTTGATTTTTGGTACAATGACCACCATGATGCACGGCCACGTGTCGGTTATAGTTACGCGGAAGATGGTTTTATTTAACCACTCAAAAGTGCACTGACCTGTGGATTATACCTTTGAAAGACCTCTAGAGAGAAAAAAAGCTTTTTTTTACGTTATGATTAAAGTTTAAAACCTTCGTTTTCTCTCTCCAGACGAGCTGATCGTGAACCTGGCAAAGGCGCTCGAGTTTGTAGTTGTCATTTCCGAGGAAGTAAAGAAGAAGGCCCCGAGGTCTTTTCCTGGAATAAAGACAAACTATTTGAATCTCGAAATGCTCCAAAAAGGAAAAAGCAAAGAACTGAAGTCCCAGAGACAACGACTATCGAGCAGATCCTTTCAGAATCTTCGACGAAGAGCAACCAGAACGAGCCTTGCGAGCTCAGTTGCGAGGAGATGCAAATGAAATGCACTACTTTGCAGACTGAAAATATCCTGCTACAAGCAGAGCTAGGGACATTAAAGACCCAAGTATCCGAGTTGAAAGAAAAAGAAAGCTACTTAAAAAGAAACTACAGCTCTTTTAACATGGATTCAAAGGTAATCAACATGGAAACTGGCCTCCCAAACAAAGAAATGTTCCACATTGTTGTCGAATATGCCGAAAGATACCGCAACGATATTGTTTACGTGTGTGGCTGGAAAGTAGACAAGATATCTTTTGAAGATCAAATATTGATAACATTGATGAAGATTAGACATAATTATCATAACTTACATTTAGCTGAACTTTTTAGTTGCAGTACTGCTACAATAGCGAATATTGTGACAACATTTATCCATGTTTTGCACCAAATTCTATATGAAGATCAAATGGAGATAGCTGTTCCATCCAGACAAAAAAACAAAACTTCACTTCCAGGCTCATTTAGCTTATTTGGAGACTGTCGTATGGTAATAGATTGCACCGATATCGAGGTTGCTACACCTAAGCTTATGAGTGACCAAAAATTGACATATTCAACGTACAGGGGTATGAATTCTTTTAAGACAATTGTTGGTGTGGCACCCAACGCGGTTATAACTTATGTAAGTAAACTTTTCCCTGGCTCAGTATCAGATAAAGTAACGGTTCAAAAGTCAGGAATATTAAAGCATTTTGTTGCTGGGGATATTATACTTGCGGATAAAGGGTTTTTGATAAATGATATTGTTCCTAATGGTGTATATGTGAACATTCCCCCATTCTTGAACAATGGAAAATTTACAGAAAGTGAAGTTAAGTTAACAAAGAGCATTGCAAAATGTCGTATACACGTAGAACGTGCTAATGCTAGATTGAAGAACTATAAAATTTTAAATTTTGTGCCACCATACTTGCGATCCCTCTCTGGTAAGATTATACAGCTATGTGGTGCTTTAGTTAATTNTAAATCAGATACAATGAATATATGAAGTTCACATACTTTGAACTGCGGTATCAAATACGTATGATGCACGATCCTTCGCAGCAGAGAGCGCTATTTATGCAATAGCGAAAATCAAACCTGAAAGTCTCAGAATTGATTGGACATGCCTACAGGATGTTGGTAGAAATCGATCAAAGAAATCATATTAACTGTGCATATCAAGCTCCACTACATAACAGAGGGACACGAGGGAGACCTTCCTACGAAATAAGCGAGGAACAGCTTCATTTTTACTTCAGCAAGGGTTTAAAGTATGTGACATTAGTAAAATTCTTGGTATGAGTGTCAGCACCGTTGAGAGGAGACTGAAAATAATCAAAATTAATAATCATTCAGACAGAACCTTCTGAACTGCCAAAAATCTCTGACATAATAATTACGCACCTATACGGGTGATTTACTCTGAGTAAAATAAAAACGAGAAAAATAAACAAACATAAGAGTATTGCAAGCAAAAGCTCTAGGAAAAATATTTAATTCTACGATCGATGCCTTCCAACCTACAGCGCGCATGAAGTTATCAAGATGGAGCTGACGTACACGTACTTGCGTCAGCGCGCGAAGAAACTAACGTCTTCATACTTAACAAAAGGTTGCCCGATTCTCACTTGGAGGTGGTGTTTCTTCCAGACAAGAAAGACGCTCAGCTACCCTCAAAAGGGTGGCTCTCACTTCGCCTAAACTAGCAGATTGTGCGGCAGCATCGATATCTTGCCAACCGGCGGCCATGACGTCCCTCGACGGCTATGGAGTGGAGAAAGGTCTCCCGAGTCCACTCAACAAGGAATTCTCTCGTCTCCATCGTCCACCCTTTGAGCAGGGGTGGCTCAGGGTGATTGCGCCCACGGTCTCCTTCGACCACTGACCAGCGGGTAAAAGTCCAATTCGAAAAGTTGAATAGAGTGCCGAAGTGTGACGTCATGTTACCATGGTAGCATTTTTGCTGGATCTAAACACTATTTGGCGTCTTTCGTTACATCTCATCATAAAATGGGCCAATGCTTCGTTCCCGACTGCAATCATCAGTCAGAAAGTCACAATTGCAGCTTTTACCGTTTCCCCAAAGATCCTGCTCAAAGAAGAAAATGGATTTCTCTAATAAGGTAGGTTGATTTTTGGTACAATGACCACCATGATGCACGGCCACGTGTCGGTTATAGTTACGCGGAAGATGGTTTTATTTAACCACTCAAAAGTGCACTGACCTGTGGATTATACCTTTGAAAGACCTCTAGAGAGAAAAAAAGCTTTTTTTTACGTTATGATTAAAGTTTAAAACCTTCGTTTTCTCTCTCCAGACGAGCTGATCGTGAACCTGGCAAAGGCGCTCGAGTTTGTAGTTGTCATTTCCGAGGAAGTAAAGAAGAAGGCCCCGAGGTCTTTTCCTGGAATAAAGACAAACTATTTGAATCTCGAAATGCTCCAAAAAGGAAAAAGCAAAGAACTGAAGTCCCAGAGACAACGACTATCGAGCAGATCCTTTCAGAATCTTCGACGAAGAGCAACCAGAACGAGCCTTGCGAGCTCAGTTGCGAGGAGATGCAAATGAAATGCACTACTTTGCAGACTGAAAATATCCTGCTACAAGCAGAGCTAGGGACATTAAAGACCCAAGTATCCGAGTTGAAAGAAAAAGAAAGCTACTTAAAAAGAAACTACAGCTCTTTTAACATGGATTCAAAGGTAATCAACATGGAAACTGGCCTCCCAAACAAAGAAATGTTCCACATTGTTGTCGAATATGCCGAAAGATACCGCAACGATATTGTTTACGTGTGTGGCTGGAAAGTAGACAAGATATCTTTTGAAGATCAAATATTGATAACATTGATGAAGATTAGACATAATTATCATAACTTACATTTAGCTGAACTTTTTAGTTGCAGTACTGCTACAATAGCGAATATTGTGACAACATTTATCCATGTTTTGCACCAAATTCTATATGAAGATCAAATGGAGATAGCTGTTCCATCCAGACAAAAAAACAAAACTTCACTTCCAGGCTCATTTAGCTTATTTGGAGACTGTCGTATGGTAATAGATTGCACCGATATCGAGGTTGCTACACCTAAGCTTATGAGTGACCAAAAATTGACATATTCAACGTACAGGGGTATGAATTCTTTTAAGACAATTGTTGGTGTGGCACCCAACGCGGTTATAACTTATGTAAGTAAACTTTTCCCTGGCTCAGTATCAGATAAAGTAACGGTTCAAAAGTCAGGAATATTAAAGCATTTTGTTGCTGGGGATATTATACTTGCGGATAAAGGGTTTTTGATAAATGATATTGTTCCTAATGGTGTATATGTGAACATTCCCCCATTCTTGAACAATGGAAAATTTACAGAAAGTGAAGTTAAGTTAACAAAGAGCATTGCAAAATGTCGTATACACGTAGAACGTGCTAATGCTAGATTGAAGAACTATAAAATTTTAAATTTTGTGCCACCATACTTGCGATCCCTCTCTGGTAAGATTATACAGCTATGTGGTGCTTTAGTTAATTTACAAAACCCATTAATTAAGGAAACCAATGACACTGTTGACTTTGATTAGTCATTTTAATTGAAATATTGATCATCTTACATCAGTTTACTAAGGCCTGGTATACATTGGCATTGTCTGATCATAGTTAATCAATTAACTGTATTCTGATACAAAGAGTGNTTAAAGACCCAAGTATCCGAGTTGAAAGAAAAAGAAAGCTACTTAAAAAGAAACTACAGCTCTTTTAACATGGATTCAAAGGTAATCAACATGGAAACTGGCCTCCCAAACAAAGAAATGTTCCACATTGTTGTCGAATATGCCGAAAGATACCGCAACGATATTGTTTACGTGTGTGGCTGGAAAGTAGACAAGATATCTTTTGAAGATCAAATATTGATAACATTGATGAAGATTAGACATAATTATCATAACTTACATTTAGCTGAACTTTTTAGTTGCAGTACTGCTACAATAGCGAATATTGTGACAACATTTATCCATGTTTTGCACCAAATTCTATATGAAGATCAAATGGAGATAGCTGTTCCATCCAGACAAAAAAACAAAACTTCACTTCCAGGCTCATTTAGCTTATTTGGAGACTGTCGTATGGTAATAGATTGCACCGATATCGAGGTTGCTACACCTAAGCTTATGAGTGACCAAAAATTGACATATTCAACGTACAGGGGTATGAATTCTTTTAAGACAATTGTTGGTGTGGCACCCAACGCGGTTATAACTTATGTAAGTAAACTTTTCCCTGGCTCAGTATCAGATAAAGTAACGGTTCAAAAGTCAGGAATATTAAAGCATTTTGTTGCTGGGGATATTATACTTGCGGATAAAGGGTTTTTGATAAATGATATTGTTCCTAATGGTGTATATGTGAACATTCCCCCATTCTTGAACAATGGAAAATTTACAGAAAGTGAAGTTAAGTTAACAAAGAGCATTGCAAAATGTCGTATACACGTAGAACGTGCTAATGCTAGATTGAAGAACTATAAAATTTTAAATTTTGTGCCACCATACTTGCGATCCCTCTCTGGTAAGATTATACAGCTATGTGGTGCTTTAGTTAATTTACAAAACCCATTAATTAAGGAAACCAATGACACTGTTGACTTTGATTAGTCATTTTAATTGAAATATTGATCATCTTACATCAGTTTACTAAGGCCTGGTATACATTGGCATTGTCTGATCATAGTTAATCAATTAACTGTATTCTGATACAAAGAGTGGACAGGTGTTGTGTGATCTGTGAAAAGCTTGTAACCCTATTTTACTTGCTCATGATACAAGGAATCATGATACACAACTTAATGACAAACTATTTATTTCTGATCAGTATTCCTGCCACCACACCCTTATGCTAGTCTTATTATGAATTCAGATAACCAACTGTATTCAAATACGATTACAATGAATCTATCATTTTCTTGTCTCAAGTAGCTAATGTAAAAACCCCAGCAAATGTTGCTGTTTAAAGAAAAACAATTTTAAGATTAACATGAACATTTTTATTTTATATACACCCTTCAGTTACTGCATATTTGTTGTAAAAGTTGCAATGATTTTACCAAATAAAACAATATTTTAAAAAATATTTCTAAAAGTATGTATTATCAAATCCATTACTTTATAAAAAACTACATTAATTTTACAACAAAGTCTTAAAATTTAAAGACCACCATCAACAAGTGCAGGAATCATGTGAATTGTATAAAATTCTTGAAGTGAAAGAAGATTTGGTTCCCATGTGCAGTCTTTCTGGATTGCCAACACAACAGTTTGCATTGTTGTCCAAACCACAAAGTAACAGATTTGCTTCCCAGTTATAAACAGCTGACCCTGGACTTGATGCCAGTAGTGGTGGGATTGTTTTAAACAATAGCCAGCATCTCTCTTTACTAAACAGAACTTAGGGTCTTTAACAGCCTCCTCAATTGTTGAATTGCGATGTGTGTAAGGGCATTTGACTTCAATGATCGCATTGTCATCAACAAGTCCATCTGGTGATGCACCCAAAACACCAGACTTGTGTAGCCAAAGGCCACAATCCTTTACTACTTTCATTGTTAATTTGGTGAAGGCCTTTATTCCTTCTTTCTCGTTAACGACACCCCATCGAACAGCCTGCACTCGAGAGATGTCGTATTCTCCAAGAACACGCTTGATAAGGGAAGGAGTGACTCTTTTTGCTTCAAGAACTGGACCAAAATTGCTAGCAGTCAAACGTCCTTTTCTCACCACATGCCACTCTCCACATTCACGTTGCTCTTTCGTGATCTCACAGACTGATTTCACTTGCTGCTCACTTACTTTCAATTTTTCCAACAAGAAATTTGTATCAAGTCCGCTTTCAACAAACTCTCTCGATAAAATGATTTCTTCGACTGTGGAGATCGGCAGACGATTCTCTTTGTCAGGTTCGGGGCTCAAAAGCCATAACATTCCTGTGAACTCGCCGTATCTCTTCAGCTTGTTCCGTAGCCATTCTCTGTCCTCATCTGTAGTTTTTCGTTTTAGGACTTTAGTTTCTTTGGGTGGATACAGATCTTCTACCGTTTTAACCACCTCGGATGCCTTTTGTTTCTTCCACTGACATTCGATGTCAGTTCTACTTAAGTTGTGGTAGCCATGAAGGAACAGAGCTACAGCGTGACTACACTTTGAACCGCCACGAGGGCACTCGCATTCTGTGGAACGTATTTCGTTTTCTTGAAGATATATCTGCGAAGGAAAGAGAAAAAGAAATATAAGCTTACTTTTCAAGATTTCCTTTAAACGAAGATTCGAAATCACTTAATTTAAATAAGTTTTGGTTTGGCGATGTTAACGGATAGACATCGAGTAATAGAAATTTTACACTTACTGTGACTTTATACGTCGTACTTTTCATGCTCGCTTGCACTGACCCTCTGATAATTCCATCACAATAGCAAAAAGATAGAACGTGTCCAGATTGGTAATGGTTTTCGCCACGGTTTAAAGATTTAGGCTCATCTGAGAAGTATTTTGCGAACGATGTTATCGACAACGCCGCCATGTTAAACACATGTGAGTTTGTTTAGATCCAGCAGAAATGCAACCATGGAAACGTGACGTCAGGGCTTCGGTACTCTATATTGAACGCGAAAACTTGCAAGTACAAAGCCCAAAGTCGGAGGTCGGAAGCCAAAACTTAAAGGACAAATGCTAAACGTTGGACGCGAAAACATGAATGTGGATTCCACTGAACTTGAGAGTCGAATTCGAAAACTACACTGTTGCCTCTAAAAAGTTGAATGTCGAAAGCGATAACAGAAATGTTGCATAAATAAAAGTTTAATGTTGAATGCAAAAAATTTGAATCGCTTGTGCAAACTCGAATGACAAACGCAAAATGTAAAAAATATTGTGGAAAGTACGATGTAAAATAGAACATTGAATTTTGGCGGAAATGGAGCGCCATAAAATTTGATGTATGTCGTAGTTTGAAGCCTTTCAAAGATTTAAATGGCAGCTTTTGTACTTATTCAACTGCTCTGACCAAACGCTCTCCAATGGTACACGTAGTTTATGCATTTTAAGTGATCAGTGATTAAGACTGGTTAGGGCAGCTAAAAGGCCTAGCCTATTGTTGTGTTTAGTGTATTGCGTTACATAGCGTTACTAATGCAAGGACATTTCCTGTATATACTCAATCGTGTTGTTACCTTATCCAATTTTCTAATAAAAGCAAATAAGTTAATCGAAAGTATTGTATGGTAAGTCCTCTATGTTGATCATTGAAAGAATCACAGTTGAATCAGAGCAAAGGAGTCACGTGATATATGAATAACTCTACCTCGCGCAAGGCGGTACGCTGGAGAGCAAAACGCACCTTTAAAGGCCGGTTGGCAGGCCTGTGCGACTTTTAAATCTCCTGCTTTCAAAGTTTAGCTCTTATTATGATATATTTTAATGACTTTCCTTTGCGATGTGATATTAGGGGTTAGTTTCTAGGTGTCCCTATCTGCATGTTCTTGACGTTTGACCAAGTCGGATGAGAATGTATTACAAAGGGCAATATTTTCTTCTGTGCGCGCGTTATTTTGTTATACTTTTTATCCCGCAGAAAATAACTCCAGAGATACGTTTCTCAAAACCTTCATGTAGTTATCCCCTATTCGGCGTATTTTGAAACTCTGTAAGATTTTATTAAACGTGGAGCGTGACGAATTCTTTCTGTCTTGAGAGGCGTAAAGCCTCATCTTTTACGAATCCAGTATTTACACTTGGTGGAAAAAAAGTTTTTTCATTCGGTCTCTGTCTCTTTGTGATGCGTTTCCATGTACAGGGTCGATTCCCTGTTAAGTAACTCGCCTCTTGAAATGTAAATTTCTAAATTTGATATTATTCACAGATCAGAGCCCTCGGCTGTGTGTAAAAACTGTCATTCTAAGGCAAGATTGCAATTTCGATTCTTTCTGCAGAATCTCGTCAGTTGCCTCCTAAGAGCGAAGTCACGGAGAAATGACAGCAGTTGCGAAGTCCCGTAATTCTTTCGAAGGAACGGCAACAGACAGCGTATCCCCATTATATTTCACGTATACTCGCGCTAGCTCGCTGCCACCAAAGATATTAGGGAGCTTAAGATACAGACGTTTTCGGGGCGACGGCGACGTGACAAACCAGGTAGACTGGGCCAGAGGTTGCTGTTTTCGTGCCATAATTTAAGTTGTTAAGATTCTGAGAGAGAGAGAGGCTTTATTTCAAGAGGGTAGCACACGAGAGTGGTTAATCTGATAATCCTGTGGCCCTCTATTAACCCACCCATCCCACCCCAGGGGAGGACATCCATCACACAGTAATCTCGTCTAAGCGACAATGGATTAAGATTTCCCGGGAAAAGTAACGCATTGCAGACACTTTTTTTATATCTTGATCGCTTAGTGAAGCATTGAGGAGGACAACACAATAGTGAACAAACTAATTCCCGCGGTAAAAACCACCACAAGAAATCGGGGACATTTCGAACCCGTTACGAAATTTCAGCGGTATATCATATTACAGACAATTCAATCAGGCAGCGGTGGAAGTGAAGTGAACCCAACGAGAGAAAGGCCTGGTACCTTTCTATCCCAGAAAGCCAAAGGAGACGTCAAAACAAGGACAATTGCGGCCAAATAGTGCAGTTACTGGGACTTGTATCTTTCGTGTTCTTCCTTCCTAAATTCGGGGTATTTATAAATGGCCTATTTGGCTTTTGAGCACTGTGAAAATGCGAAGAGTTTCCCGGCTCGAGGAAAATTTGTGGGCCAACATAATCGACCGTTTACGAGCGATTTAGTTGAGCAAACCTCTGCAGCATGCATATCGAACGACGCAGTTTCGAATCTTTACAAGGTTGTTCCCACGACAACAGAATTTAAACACCTACTCGGAGCAGATTTTAGGAGTTTGTATGGGAAAATGGAGTCAGAATTATGAGTTTACTCGTAACCTTAGGAAAAGGAAGGCTTGAAATTTAGTATTTCTTTTTCGTAGCGATGGACGTTCTAACCGATGCAGGCTGCATTTCCAAGTACGCAGGGAAAGAATATTCCATTCTTAGGCAGTCATTTTGAAAAAACAATCTTTTCCCACACTTTTTCTTATACTGTTTCGGCGCCATTTTGCTTGTAACACGAGAACCGCGTCCGCCATATTGTCTCAAATTTCTGGCAATACGGAAACACTGGATAATGGACTGAGAAGCAATGCAACGAATCGACAGACAGCTTTCAAAATTACGATTTAAGGCGAATGTTTTTTAAATATTTTCGTATCAAGGCTGTTACTTGCATAGATAAGGAACTTCTTTATATTATAAAAATTCTTTGGCCATCGTAGCTTGATAAGAAATAGCACACAAACTGCAGTTACAAACATGACAGTACAACGCATGTTGGAAAACAAGATTACTAAACTTTACTTGACGTTTCGTATGTTTCGACATACATCTTCAGAAGTGACAGTTCATAATACACGTGGCGACTAAGTTTTAAATTTAAGATAAGTAATGTGAGCAAAAGAAATTATTTTGCATATACAAAGATGCAAACTAATACAGATAAAGCTTATCGCTGCTGACATAAGGTTCAGCGGGTACAAAATGATGCGGTGCGTCTCGTCTCCTGCCCTCAAAAATA